GGACTCTGGATCAGGGCCGACACTACCTGGCTCAGGTTGAAGTAGTCCTTCCACATGTCGAAGGGTGGCAACTCCATGGCCGCCTGGCAGGGGTGGTAGGTGGCTGGAGAGAGATGGGCTGGGGGCCCCGCGGACTGGAGCAGCAGAGGTTTTCAGAAGCAGAGAGGAACCGCACCCATTTTTATACTTCTCAAAGACCCTTCTGAACAAAGGTGGAGCTTAGGATTTAAAGGGCCCACTCCTCACCCTTGGCCCCCATCTGACTTTAACACCCCATGGATAACTGGAAGGGGGTCATTCCCCTCGTCTCTCGTCCTTGCTCTAACTGCCGGGTGCTGTGATCTGGAAAGGCCCTTCCCCCTGGGCCTCAGTTTCTTTATCTGATCAATAAAGTCCCATGTCTGCAAATTCCCCCACCCCCCTCCCCTCAAGGCCAGGGGCTGCCCGCTCTAGAGCCATTCCTAGCAACAACAACAGCCCCCGACTATGAGCTGGTCGCTGGGCTCCCACAGTTACCTTCATGATCTGACTTCACTCCCACAACACCTCCGCATGGGTAGCACAGTTACTATTCCTTTTTCTTTTTTTTTAATTGATTTATAATCATTTCACTACTACCCCATTTTCTAGACAAGTTGCTGAAGCTCAGAGAGGAAAACTCCTACTGGCCCAGAGGCACACAACACGCAAATGGCAGAGCCAGGGCTCGCAACTCCGAAGCAAATGTTTCTTCTATCTCTTTTGAATTAAAACCTGATTTTTTGTCACGTCTGGAATTAGGAGCCACTGATTCAACACAGATTTCTTGAGGGTGCACCAGAGTGTTCAATGTTTTTGAAAAAGGGTTTCTTTGAACCTCATAACCATTCAAGGAGGCAGGCACCAGAGTTTCCATTTTCTAGAAAAGGCTATGAGGCTCAGAGAGGTTAAGGAAGATACTCAAAGTCACACAGCAGGGAAATGGCAGAGTTGGGATTGACACCCAGCTCTGGCTCCAGAGACACTGGGAATTGATCTAAGAAGCAGAAGAGGACCCTGGCATGACACAGACTCATTTAGAATGCCCACACTTCCCCCTTGGCCTGGCACATTTGCCCAGATCCTTTCTGAGCTTCAGGACCAAGTAAAAGCCTGGCCTCCCGCCCATGCCAACTCCAGGAATTCTTCCTCCACCTGTGGTCCCCAGTTGGTCTCCCTGATCGCTCAACATCCAATCACTGAAGTCCCTAGTGTTGGGCGCTGGAAACTCAGCAGTGACCACATCTACCCTGTGCCTGTTTCACAAACAACCAGTCTAGCCAGCTAATGAGAAAACAATAGCCCATAAAGACCCGATTACACAGACAGGGTGCTCTGAGAGAGGCTGAGCTGGGAGAGGTGACCGGAAGCTGAGATCACATAGAACAGTCTTCCAGGAAAGGGAACGCAAGATACGGAGCCCTGAAGTCTGGGGACAGCAAGGGGGCTGGAGTGGCCAGAATGGGGTGAGAGTCCCCAGATGAGGCCAGCTCGGGATGCAGGGGCTGAAAATAAATTTGTTTATTATAAACTACTGTCTTTTAATTTCTCCTTTACAGTTCAGTTAGGACATGATCTTAATTTTCTTTTCATTTTTTTTTTACTATATTTTTATTTTATTATTTATTTATTTTAGTTTTCCCCTTTTCAGAGGCACTGGGGTTGAACCCAAAACCTTGTACACACCAAGCATGTGCCCTACCACTAAGCTATACCCCAACCTTCCCAATTTTAAAAATAAAATGTGTGTGTTGGTGGCTCTATTACCTAGGAACTCAATTTCAGAATCCTCAAGGGGCATCTCAATATGTTAGATGAAGTGGGTGTCAGGTGTCACTGGGTTAAGCACCCGTGATGTAGGTCAGTATCAGCCCATTGGTCTTTGTCTTCGGAGCAATAGGGAGCCACTGAAGGGTAAAAGCAGGGGAGGGGCAAGTGAGAAATGTTTTAGGATGCTCCTCTGGTTGCTGTCGATTGAATAGAGGCTATCCCCATCAGTTCACATTGTCTTGAGCTGACCAGGGAGTGAAGTCTGAACAAAGTCTGTTGAGGACTCCTTGATGGCAGATACTAGGTCTTGCCTTCGGAAAGAGCTTAATACATGCTCATTGAGTGAATGTATCATCTCTGTGGATGGGCTCCAGGTTGGGAGGGGACAAAGGGAGGAATTTATGAATGTCAGAGGAAAGGTCTTTTTGTGGTGTGATTTCCCAGCTTTCTGTAATTTCTTTTTTTTCCCTGGGGGAAAAATATGTTTTTTTTTTTAATTGAAATATCGTTGATTTATAACATTGTGTTAGTTCTGGTGTTCAGCCTCGTGATTCAGCTATACATATATATATTCTTTTTCATATTCTTACTCATTATAGGTTATTACAAGATATTGAATATAGTTCCCTGTGCCAAACAGTAGGACCTTGCTGTTGATCTGTTTTATATATAGTAGTTAGTATTGCAAAACCCAAACTCCTATTTTAGCCCTCTGTAATTTCCTTTTGAAGTAATGATTTGGATAGTGGCTTGTTTGATGTCTGTCCTCACTGGTAATCTGTGAGCCCCAGGAGGTCAGCCCCAGGCGATGATGTTCCCAGCATCACCCAGCACAGGGCCAGGCGGCCACTGAGCAGGTCAGGGGATGTTAGCAGGATGAGTGTCCACAGATCAATAATAAGTCATTCAAATGGGTGATTCCTGTGTCTTAAGTGCTTATGGTGTTCTTTATCGTTCAGCTCTAATGTCTCCTCCTCCAGGAAGTCCACCAGACCCTCAGGCTGGGTCAGCCTTTTCTGAGTGCCCCCATCCCAGCCCTGCCTACACTGAGTCATCACTGACTGGGGTTGGGTCTGTCTCTCCTTCTGGACCATGAGCCTGTGAGGGCAGGGCTAAGGCTGTTCCACAAGTACGTTTATGTGCTTCATGTCATTTAACTCTCATTGCTTTCCTAAGTACCATTATTATTCCTGATTTGCAAAGGCAGCAACTGATGTTCAGAGAAATTAGGTGATTTTTCTGTGGTCACACAGCTGGCAGGCAGCAGAGCTGGGATTCCAACTTGGGTCTTCCCCAGTCTAGTCTTTGCCCTTAACCACTGCCCTACATTGCCTCAATAAATACTCAGTAGAATGAATGAATAAATGAATGCATCTGGGAGCTACCCAGTGTCTTCCAGATCACCTGGTCAAGTTTACCCTACTTTTTTATTTTACAGATGTAAATGAGGCCTCAAGATGGGAGGGATCTGAGTTTCAGTCTCTTAAAGCCATGGTTCCCGGCCAAGGTCCCTGGATTCACCTGCACATCAGTTAACTTCTGGAAACCCATTAATAAAAGTACACCTGTGGTCATAGGGTGGGATGTGAGGTTTTCTGCTTGTTCATCTCCCTGAAGAGGTAAATCAGACCTCTGTGTTATAATATTGGGGTCATGGGGTTGGGCAGTGGGGTGACTTGAGCACAAAATCCACCCCCCCACCACAGTTCACTAGGTGGGTAGCATCCTGGATAATGTCTCAGTAATCAGCCCTGGGTTCAAGCCAGTCTTTACCACCTGCTTGCTGAGTGGCTGTGGGCTTATTATTTAATCTTTCTTAGCCTCAGTTTTTTCATCTGTCAAGAGGAAATGACATTAGTGCTTGTCCAGGGGCCATGGACTGTAATTGTGTTTGCAAACAGCACAGAGCTTGGCTCTTGGGATATGCTGATGACACATTAGCCATGATAATTGACAAGATTAAGGCAATAATCTCAAGGGGACTTATTTACTGAGCATCTCCTTAGGGCTAGCACCATGCTCAGGGTTCTACCTGCATCCATTTCCCTGTATCATCCCCAGACCCTGTGAAGCAGGGTCTAGCAATAGCCCCATTTTACACTTGAGCCATGGGTGTTTCAGAGAGGCCGAGGGGCTTGTCCAAGGTTATATGGACAATGAGTGGTAGGCTGGAACTGGAACCCAGGACTGGCTGAAGAGCCTGCAAAGGTGTTCAACAGAAAGCAAGGGAGTTAGAGGGACTTGCCAGACATAGGGACAGAATGAGGTGAAAACCAGGAAGGATGAGGGGATCTGAGTGACATAGATTTTCACAGGGAGAAGCTGTCGGCCATCAGTGGACATATTCCAGGGCAGGAGAGACCGAGGTCTGCCATGTGGCAGGAGAAGGCTCTTGGAGGGAGGACCCAGGATGGGTGAGGGGGCCTCTGCACCAGGTGCTTTCCACAAAGTCACAGCTGAAACCTCCAGCATGAGAGGTGCGAGTTTCCCGTGAGCAGCAGGGCCGGGCCCCAGGGACCCAGTCAGTGCTGGTCGCTGCAGCTGAGGGATCTGCTGGGAATCTGAGAATGACTAAGGAGTGGAGCGGCTTTCGAGGCTCCATGACTTCCTTTAACAATTGCACCTATTGTTTGGAGACGCTCAGATTCTGTTGCTTGTGAGTTTTATTTTTTTTCTTACAAAAAATTTTTTAATTAATTGACGTAAGTTTACTAATGTGTTAATTTCTGGTATACAGCATAGTGAATCAGATATATATATATATATGTGTGTGTGTGTGTGTGTGTGTGTGTGTGTATTCCTTTTCATATACTTTTGCATTGTAGGCTATTACAAGATATTGAATATAGTTCCCTGTTCTATAGAGTAGGACCTTGTTTATCTTTTTCTTTTCTTTTTGTTTTTTCCCTGATTGTTTTCTTCTAGAACTCTGTTATTGGGGCCATGACTACCCTCCTCCCCACCCCATCTGGGTGGTGCTTTATTGGATCAGTAGCTGCAAGACAACCGTTCTCAGATAAGCTTTCTTCCATGGTGTGGTTGTTGCCATGGACTGAGGGACAGTCAAAGAAATTCATCAGCCTGGTGTTTACTTGATCATAATCTCCACCCCCAGGCCAAAGCCTTACCACTCTCTGCTGACCAGACGCCATGGCTGCCCTGTTTACTTGTGAGTTTCCCTCTCAGCCTCACACCTGCCAGAAAACAGCTCATGGGGCGTCCAGAGAGGGGGAGGAGAAGCAAGAGGGAGTCTGGAGGAAAGAAACCCTCCAGAAAGAGGAGGAAAGACACACAGAGAGGCAGCAAAGACTCCCAGAGGGACTGAAGGATGCACTTGTGCAGGGACCCAGACAGGGGAGATGAAGACCAGGGGAAAGAAAGACTGTCAGAGACCAAGAAGGTCATGATCATTGTCCTTGTGGTCTCTATTTATTAG